TTGGGAGGCTGAGGCAGGAGAATTGCTTGAACCTGGGAGGCAGAGGTTACAGTGAGCTGAGATCCTGCCATTGCACTGCAACCTGGGTGACAGAGCAAAACTCTGTCTGAAAAAAAAATAAAAGAGGCTGAGTGCGGTGGCTCATGCCTGTAATCTGAGGGCTTTGGGAGGCTGAGGCAGGTGGATCACCTGAGGTCAGGAGTTCAAGACCAGCCTAGCCAACGTGGTGAAACCTGGTCTCTACTAAAAACCCAAAAATTAGCTGGGCGTAGTGGCGTGCGCCTGTAACTTCAGCTACTCAGGAGGCTGAGGCAGGAGAATTATTTGAACCTGGGAGGCAGAGGTTGCAGTGAGTGGAGATCGTGCCATTGCCCTTCAGCCTGGGCAACAAGAGTGAAACTCCATCTCAAAAAAAAAAAAAAAAAAAACAGGGCTGGGCACAGTGGCTCACGCCTATAATCCCAGCACTTTGGGAGGCCGAGGCAGGTGGATCACGAGGTCAAGAGATGGAGACCATCCTGGTCAACAAGGTGAAACCCCGTCTCTACTAAAATTGCAAAAATTAGCTGGGCATGGTGGTGTGCGCCTGTAGTCCCAGCTACTCGGGAGGCTGAGGCAGGAGAATTGCTTGAACCCAGGAGGCGGAGGTTGCGGTGAGCTGAGATTGTGCCATTGCACTCCAGTCTGGGTAACAACAGTGAAACTCCATCTCAAAAAAAAAAAAAAAAAAAAAAAAAAACTGAGGGTGGTGAGAGCAGGCTCCAGCCTCTGGGTCATTGAGGCCTCTCCAGGGCAGCAGCAGAAGCCAGTCCGAGGGGTGATGCTGGGAAGGTGGTCAGGGCAGAGGGAACCGCTTATGGGAAGGCTCAGAGGCAGCAGTGAATTGGGGAGACATCAGTGGGGCCTCACCTGCTGTTGAGCATCTGGCGTCTCTCTGAGGGTGACGAGGGGCAGGTCCCCACGGGCTGCTCCGATCAGTCCCTCCTGCCTCTGCAGCCAGCAGAAAACTGAGTTTCCGGTCACAGAGAACGTGCAGACGATTCCCCCGCCATACGTGGTCCGCACCATCCTTGTCTACAGCCGTCCACCCTGCCAGCCCCAGTTCTCCTTGACGGAGCCCATGAAGGTGGGTGAGGCCTGGGAGAGGGAGGGATGCCTGCAGCTATGAGGATGGTGGTTAGACACCACACAGGCTGGGGTGCCTAGAGGCAGGTTCCTGGAGTCTGAGGCAGAAATGGGGTTATAGTCAAGGGGCTTGGGAGAGGCTAGTGTTCTTTACATCCCCTGCAGAAAATGTTCCAGTGCCCATATTTCTTCTTTGACCTTGTTTACATCCACAATGGTGCCGAGGAGAAGGAGGAGGAGATGAGCTGGAAGGTAAGAGGCCGCAGCAGGTGCGGGTAGCAGGCGGGTGTGGACAGAAAGTCTTGGAACACGCCTGCACTGGGTCTGGGGTCTCCACCTCCATTTGGTGGCCCTGGATCCCTGGCTATGGTAGGTCATGGGCATTCGGTCATCTAATAGCTGTTTCTCAGTTGTCAGCTGTGACTGATGGGGTGGGAGCCATTGGGACGATGGTTCCTGGCAGCGTGCTGAGTCCTGCCTCCCCCAACCCCAGCATTTCCTGCTTCCCTTTCTTTTTTTTTTTGGAGACCGAGTCTCACTCTCTTGACCAGGCTGGAGTGCAGTGGCATGATCTTGGCTCACTGCAACCTCCGCCTCCTGGGTTTAAACAATTCTCCCTCCTCAGCCTCCTGAGTAGCTGGGATTACAGGTACCTGCCATCATGCCCAGCTAATTTTTGTATTTTTAGTAGAGGTGGGGTTCACCATGTTGGCCAGGCTGGTCTTGAACTCCTGACCTCAGGTGATCTGCCCATGTTGGCCTCCCAAAGTGCCAGGATTGCAGGCATGAGCCACGGCGCCCCGCCCCTTCTTCTGTTTCTTCCTGCTTTTGGCCTCGCTGTGCCCTCAGCTTGGAACACCCATTCCTCTTGGACTCCCCAGGCCCTGTTGGGCCTTCACATCCCAGACCTGAACTAGTTGTGGGACTCGAGTAGGACTTCTCTGAGCCTCAGTTTACCCATCTATGAACAGGGGAAACTGAGACTAGCTCCTCCTCATACCTCAATACCCAAATCAAAAGTCCCTCCTCTAGGCTGGGTGCGGTGGCTCATGCCTGTAATCCCAACACTTTGGGTGGCCAAGGCAGGCAGATCATAAGGTCAGGAGTTTAAGACCAGCCTGGCCAATATGGTGAAACCCCATCTCTACTAAAAATACAAAAATTAGCCGGGTGTGGTGGCAGGCGCCTGTAGTTGCAGCGACTCGGGAGGCTGAGGCAGGAGAATCACTTGAACCTGGGAGGCAGAGGTTGCAGTGAGCCAAGATCACGCCACTGCACTCCAGCCTGGGCTACAGAGCAAGACTCCGTCTCAAAAAAAAAAAAAGTCCCTCTGCTATCTAGCTGGGCATGGTGGTGTATGCCTGTGGTCCCAGATATTTGGGAGGCTGAGGCAGGAGACTTGCTTGAGCCCAAAAGATAGAGATTGCAGTGAGCTGTGATGGAGCCACTGCACTCCAGCCTGGGCAACAGAGCAGAAACCCTGTGTCACAAAATAAAAATAAAAAGTGCCTCCTCTGAGAAGCCCTCCCTGTTTTTCAAGAAGGATCAAAGTGGGGGCTAGGAGAATGTGTCTGTATCTGACTGTGTCTCTTCACACTGGGGACTCTTCAGGGACCATGACAGGGACCTCTTTAGGTCCCTAACTCTGGGTCCATGGCAGGGAATGTTTGCTGAATGTGTAAATGGTTTTGCTTGGCAAACTCCTCTTCACCCTTTAGAACCCACCCCAGATGTCCCCTCCTCCGAGAAGCTCTTCAGGGATATGAAGGGGATGTTTGGGTAACCTCTGCCTGAACAGCCCTTCACTGACCCCCTAGGACATGTTTGCCTTCATGGGCAGTCTGGATACCAAGGGGACCAGCTACAAGTATGAGGTGGCACTGGCTGGGCCTGCCCTGGAGTTGCACAACTGCATGGCGAAACTGTTGGCTCACCCCCTGCAGCGGCCCTGCCAGAGCCACGCTTCCTACAGCCTCCTGGAGGAGGAGGATGAGGCCACTGAGGTCGAGGCCACTGTCTGAACCTCCCCTGTTCATCTGCACCTTCTTGTGCAAGGAATCCCTTGGCCTGAAGCCTTGATTCTCCAGCCGGGTTCCTTGAGGCCTCTGGGGGTTTCCAGGAGGCACCTAGGATACCTTGCAGGGTCCTGGGAGGGAAACCCAGGATTCCAGGAGGGATCCCAGGAACTGTGGACACCTGTCTTCCGTGTTTCCCTGCCCATTTTCACTCCTAGTTTGCCATGGATAATTTTTGTCCTTTCCTGTGTGATTTTTGTCATCAAAATAAAAACTTGAGAGTCGTTAACTGGAGTCCACGCCTGTCACTTTGTGTTAATTTGGATCATCTTGGTTTTCCACTGAGCAAAGGTGAGTGGCTGCTTTCTTGGTGATGAAAAAGTCCCCGGGACGTGGAGGTCGCAGTGAGTTGAGATCGCACCACTGTACTCCAGCCTGGAGACAGAGCGAGAGCCTTACTCATTTAATAAAAAAGAAAAATGTGGCCGGGCACAGTGGCTCACTTCTGTAATACCAGCACTTTGGGGGACTGAGGAGGGCAGATCATGAGATCAGGAGTTTGAGACCAGCCTGAGTAACATGGTGAAACCCCATCTCTACTAAAAAAAATGTAATTGCTTTGTGTGGTGGTGCGCGCCTGTAATCCCAACTACTCAGGAGGCTGAAGCAGGAGAACTTGAACCTGGGAGGCGGAGGTTGCAGTGAACCAAGAATGTGCCTCTGTATTTCAGCCTGGGTGACAGGGCAAGACTCCATCTCAAAAGAAAAAAGAAAAATTCAAAAATAAAAATACTGTAATCCCAGGATTTTGGGAGGCCGAGGTGGGCAGATCACAAGGTCAAGAGACCGAGATCATCCTGGCTAACATAGTGAAACCCCATTTCTACTAAAAATACAAAAATTAGCTGGGTGTGGTGGCACGTGCCTATAGTCCCAGCTACTTGGGAGGCTGGGGCTGGAGAACTGCTTGAACCTAGGAAGTGGAGGTTGCAGTGAGCCAAGATCGTGCCACTGCACTCCAGCCTGGGTGACAGAGTGAGACCCCGTCTCAGAAAAAAAAAAAAAAGACAGAGCCTCACTCTGTTGTCTGGGCTGGTCTCAACTCTTGCACTTACAAAAAGAAAAGAAAAACCAGCAACAGCAAACTGCTAAGCTCAAGTGATTCTCCCACCTCAGCCTCCCAAAGCACTCTAGTTAAAGGAGTGAACCAGGTCCCTTGGCCTGGGGGTTGAATATTGAAGCCTCTTATTTATTTATTTACTATTTTCTGGGACAGTTTTTTGCTCTGTTGCCCAATGTAGGGTTCAGCCCTACAGGGTTCTGTGAGCCACTCCTGGCTGGTGCTGAGATGAGAAATTATAGAAATACAAGACACAGGGCCGGGCGCGGTGGCTCATGCCTGTAATCCCAGCACTTTGGGAGGCTGAGGCGGGTGGATCATGAGGTCAAGAGATCGAGACCATCCCGGTCAACATGGTGAAACACCGTCTCTACTAAACCTACAAAAAATTAGCTGGGCATGGTGGTGCATGCCTGTAATCCCAGCTACTCGGGAGGCTGAGGCAGGAGAATTGCCTGAACCCAGAAGGTGGAGGTTGCGGTGAGCCGAGATCGCGCCATTGCACTCCAGCCTGGGCAACAAGAGTGAAACTCCGTCTCAAAAAAAAAAAAAAAGAAATACAAGACACAGAGATAGAGAAAAGAGAGTTTGGGCCCAGGGGTCCACTGCTACCCAAATTGCAGAGACCAGCAGTGGCCCCGAATGCCTCGGGATGCTCTCACTTTTATTGAGTTGCAAATCTGGGGGCAGGGACAGTAGGGCGGGGCAATGATAGGGTCAAGTACATCACGTGTCACTCAGGTGGGGCCCAGGAATTTCTGGCACCCAAATTGAGGTCAGGAGCATAATGGATCAGCACTTTTTCCATACCTGAAAGAACTAAAACATTAAAATTTATGTTACTATTACTGGTTGTCTTTTCTAAGACAAAAGGAACCAGGTGCAGAAGCAGAACATGAGCGTAGACTTGGAAGGTGACCACTGAAGCACAGCATCACACAGAGACAGTTAAGCCCCCGGATGTCTTCCGGTTTCCCTGACAGCCGTCAGGCCTTGCCACAAGAACTTGGAGAAGCGGAGTTTTCTCCTAACTCCCCCAGGAAGGAGATGTTTTGGCCATTTCGGACATCTCCTCCCCTAGCTGGCTAAACATCTGGCGCTTTTCCAGCGCTGGCGCTGCCGCACAGCCAAGGCACCCTCCAGCACCCCTTATGCGGGCGTGACAAAGGGCTTAGAGCATCTTGCCTTAGTGTCATTCATTTCACAATGTCACCCCAGGTTCACACTTCCGACCTGAGAGGCATTAGTAAAGGAATTAAGATCATCTATGAATAACTAAGATCACATATGAATAACTAACTACTACCGTTATGTTTCTAGTTACTCTCTTCTTCATTATTTATATGGAAACAGGCTGAGGCCTTTTGCTCCTGCCTTGGCGCTTATGGATCTCCCTGCTACAGCCCAGGCTGGAGTGCAGTGGTGCAATCACAGCTCACTGTATCCTCAAACTTCTAGGCTCAGGAGAACCTCCCAACTCAGCCTCCCAAGTAACTGGAAACACAGGCACAAGCCACCACACCCGGCTAATTTTTTGTATTTTTTGTGGGGACAGGGTTTATCCAAGTTTCCGAGGCTGGTCTCGAACTCTGGGACTCATGCACTCCTCCCGCCTGGGCCTCCCAAAGTGCTGGGATTACAGGTGTTAGCCACCGTGCCAGGCCGAAGCCTCTCATAACGCCGTGCGCCCTCCAAGAGGCCACCCTGGCAGAAGATTTTCCGAGACCTAATGCCCTGGGCACCCCGGACTTTCCTCATCGTAGCTCCACCCACTCGAGCATGGGGCGTTCGTGTTTCCCGTTTTGAAATGAGATAATGGCACACCCGGTGGCATCCTCCCGCCCAGGCTCTTATCGGCGCCCCCAGCCCCTGCTTGAGGGCCTCTGGTTGTTGTCTTGGGCCCCTGCGGACACTAATGCGCTCGAATCCCGATGTGGGCCCCGGTGCGGCGCGGGACAGCCTCGTTGGAAACCCTGCTCAGCCCTGGGGGGGGGGCGTCCGGAGCCGAGGGGCGGAGCGGCGCATGCCCACAAGTCCGCCGCGGGAAGTAGGAAATCAACTGGCCGGGTGGTGCGCTTCGAACCCGGCCAGGGCATGTGCTCCCCTGCCCGCCTGGCGCGCGGGTTACGGGAGGCGCTGCGGGAGGAGGAGTCCTGGTGAGGGCGGGGCCGGGGGCGGGCCAGGAGTGGGGGCCTTTGGCCGGGGTCCACTCTAACCCTGGTGTTTGCAGGGCGGTGGAGGAGCTGCTGCGCCGCGGGGCTGACCCTAATCTGGTGCTGGAGGACGGCGCAGCGGCCGTGCACTTGGCGGCCGGAGCCAGGGACCCGCGCGGGCTGCGCTGCCTCGGGATTCTACTGTGCCGAGGCGGGGACCCCAACGCTCGGTAAGGCGGAGCCTGGGCCCGCGGCGGGGTCTCCAGAAGCCGAAGTTTGGGATTCCGGAAAGGGACGCCCCACTATCCAGGGCCAGGGCCTCAGGGCCCGAGGGTGGGGTTTGGGAGATCTTGGGGAGGGAACTTGGGGGGTCCAAGGGCAGGGGCTAGGGCTCGAGGGAGGCGCTGGGGTCCCAGACCGAGGGCGGGGAATGGGACGGCGCTAGGACCAAAATGAGGATCAAGGGTGCAGATCTGGGGGTGGAAGCTCCAGGGTCAGACGGAAGAGGTTTGGGTCCTGGCCGGAGGTCGTAGCTTCTAGGTCCCAAGGGCAGTGTCCCAGGCTGGACAGTGGATATGGGGGCCGAGAACTAAGACTCCGGGTCCCCAGAGTGGAGATTGGGGTTCCTGCCGGGAAGCTGAGTCCGCAATGACCCCTTTTGCGCTGCTGCCCTAGATCTGTGGAGGCGCTGACACCGCTGCATGTGGCCGCCGCCTGGGGCTGTCGCCGTGGCCTGGAGCTGCTGCTGAGCCACGGAGCGGACCCGGCGCTGCGCGACCAGGTTGGCAGGCACTGCGCGGGCAAAGAAAGGCCGGAGAGCCCAGAGGGAGGGAGGGAGGGAGGGAAGGGAGGGAAGGGAGAAGGGCCTCGGACGCCCCCTGCTGACCGCGCCGCTGTAGGACGGACTCCGGCCGCTGGACCTGGCCCTGCAGCAGGGCCACGTGGACTGCGCGAGAGTCCTGCGGGATCTCCACACGCGGACCGGGACCCGGACGATCGGGGCAGAGACCCAGGAGCCGGATCCTGCGCCTGGCAGTGAGTAGGGCCTGCGGGGCTGCTGGGGCTTGACTTCTGCCCCAGTCTCTGGCATCCACTGTTTCCCCACCCCACCCATTGGTTGTGACTGTCTCATGTCCACTGTCTGTGGCCAGCTCTTTCTGTCTCAGATACTCTGATGTTCTTTTTCTGTCTGTCTTATCCTATTCCTGTCCCTGTCTCATCCCTCCTCCTCCCCTCTCTGGCCCTCACTCTCACCTGAAGCCCCGGGCCTCTCTGGACCTCCCGATGAGACGCTGGACTCCATCGCACAACAAATGCAGCCATGCAGAGGTGACAACAGGGACATGGGCTTGGATGTTGACCCCGGACGCCCCAGCCTCCCTGTTCCCCTTGAAATTGTGGACAAAGATGGGAGCTCAGCATCCCCTCCAGGGCACTGGGATAGTGGCTCCGATGCCTCTTTCGTCACTGCATTTGAGGTCTCTGGAGCCGAGGACCCAGCCTTGGACACTCCCTCCTGGGCTGGTTCATTGCTACGGACCAGGCAGGGGCTCCTGCATGTTGTCCGTGCCACCCAGAGGGTACCTAGGTCTCAGGGCACAGAGGCAGAACTGAATACCCATCTGCAGGCGCTGACTCTGACCCCACCAAATACTGCCAGCTTCCAGTCCTCCCCCTCCTCCACGCCTCTCCTGGACAGCATGCCAGCTTATAGCCCCCCACAGACACCACCCCCTGGAGCCTCTAACTGCCACTGCCTTCGGGAGGACGAGGCATCCATTGATAGTGACGTGGCCATGCTCTGGCTGACAGAGGACGAGGCAAGCTCTACAGGTGGCAAGGACCCTGTTGCCCCTTGCCAGCACCTGCCAGTGCCCACTCTGTGTGACCTAGAGTTGCTGCAAGGGCTCCGAGCGCTTGGTGAGAATCCTGGCCCCGTCACACCCTTCACCCGGCAGTTCTACCTCCAACGGCTGCAAGAAGCCCAGGTTGCCCCTGGTTAGTCTGTCCCGGGCACATAGAATCCAGGGAGCCTCCAGGAATCTCCTGGAGAACGCTGGCTCTCCATCCAACTTTCCTCCTCATCTTACAACCATCCTTCCTCCATCTCCCTTGACTCGCAGGCCCAGACTTTGCAGGACACAGCCTGGAACTGGCTACAGCCCTGCGGACTGGCCGTATTCCAGATGCCCAGGCAGACGAAGACGCATTGGCCCAGCAGTTTGAGCGGCCAGATCCTGCCAGGAGGTGGCGGGAGGGGGTCGTGAAATCTAGCTTCACGTATCTGCTGCTGGACCCCAGGTACTCAGGGTAGGAAAGCCCCAGAAGTAGAAGGTAGAAAATTTGGGAATTGGCTTTTATTTGCTGTGTGGCCTTAGGAAAGGGACTGGTCCGCTTTCATCAGCTTTTTTTTTTTTTAGAGACAGGGTTTCACCATGTTGGTCAGGCTGGACTCGAACTCCTGACCTCAGGTGATCCACCCTCCTCAGCCTTCCAAAGTGCTGGAATTACAGGCATGAGCCACTGCGCCCGGCCCTTCTTTTTTTTTTGAGACGGAGTCTTGCTCTATCGCCCAGCTGGAGTGCAGTGGTGCAATCTTGGCTCACGGCAACATCAGCCTTTCAGGTTCAAGTGATTCTCCTGCCTCAGCCTACTGAGTAGCTGGGACCACAGGTGTGCACCACCGTGCCCGGCTAATTTTTGTATTTTTAGTAGAGACAGGGTTTCACCATGTTGGCCAGGCTGGTTCCAAACTCCTGACCTCGTGATCTGCCTGCCTTGGCCTCCCAAAATGCTGGGATTACAGGCTTGAGCTACCACGCCTGGCCTCTTTTTTTTTTTGAGATGGAGCATCACTCTGTCACCCAGGTTGGAATGCAGCGGTGCAATCTTAGCTCATTGCAACCTCTGCCTCCTGGGTTCAAGCGATTCTTGTGCCTCAGCCTCCCAAGTAGTTGGGATTACAGGCATATGCTACCATGCCTGGCTAATCTTTTTTTAATAATTTTAGTAGAGTAAATTTCGGAGAGTTTCACCACGTTTGCCAGGCTGGTCTTGAACTCCTGACATTGTGAGCCGCCCACCTCGGCCTGGGAATACAGGCTGAGCCACCACGCCTAGCCATGTTGTGATTTTAAAGACTGTCACTGGGGACCGCTCTGTCTACTTTTCCCTGTCTGAGCCACCCACCACATCAGGGAGACTCAGGATCTGCCAGCCCGAGCCTTCTCACTGACCCCAGCTGAGCGCCTTCAGACCTTCGTCCGTGCCATCTTCTATGTGGGCAAGGGGACGAGGGCCCGGCCGTATATCCACCTCTGGGAGGCCCTTGGTCACCGTGGGCGGACAAGAAAACAGGTGTGAGAACGAGGATCAGGGTCCAGCAAGGGCATTCAGGCCATGGGCAGGAAGAGGATGGAGGGGATTGGGGGGCTGACCCCTGACTCTGCCCTGGTCCCCCCCAGGCCTGCCCCAAGGTGCGTCACATCTTGGACATCTGGGCCAGTGGTTGCGGCGTTGTCTCCCTACATTGCTTCCAGCACGTGGTCGCTGTGGAGGCTTATACACGGGAGGCGTGTATTGTGGAAGCCCTAGGTGGGTACCTGGTGCATAGGATGGGGGTCATATGAGGGCATTTTTCCTTCTGAGGGGTGTTCATTTGTTGACTGAGCAATTATTGAGCACCAACTTGCCGGGTGCGGTGGCTCACACCTGTAATCCTAGCACTTTGGGAGGCCGAGGCGGGTGGATCACCTGAGGTCGAGAGTTCGAGACCAGCCTGGCTATCATGGTGAAACCCCATCTTTAAAAAAAATTTTTAAAGGCCGGGCATGGTGGCTCACACCTGTAATCCCAGCACTTTGGGAGGCCAAGGCGGGTGGATCACGAGGTCAAGAGATCAAGACCATACTGGTCAACATGGTGAAACCCCGTCTCTACTAAAAATACAAAAATTAGCTAGGCATGGTGGTGCGCACCTGTAGTCCCAGCTACTTGGGAGGCTGAGGCAGGAGAATTGCTTGAACCCAGAAGGCGGAGGTTGCGGTGAGCCGAGATTGTGCCATTGCACTCCAGCCTGGGTAACAAGAGCGAAACTCCATCTCAAAAAAAAAAGTAAATAAAAAAAATAAAAAAGAGCACCAACTTTATACCTGCACTTGCATGTATTTTACTCCATGGGTTTATTCCCACTCAAGAGCAATACACATTGGGTTTGCTGTCACATGCTTTTTTTTTTAAGCCTGGCTAATTTTGCATTTTTAGTAGAGACGGGGTTTCACCACGTTAGCCTGGCTGGTTTCGTACTCCTGACCTCAGGTAATCCGGCTGTCTCAGACTCCCAAAGTGCTAGGATTACAGGCATAAGCCACCGAGCCTGGCTGCTGTCACATACTTTTTTGTGTGTGTGTGAGAGTCTATTGCCCAGGCTGGAGTGCAGTGGCTCACTGCAGCCTCTGCCATGAAGGTTCAAGCAATTCTTGTACCTCATCCTCCCATGGATTATAGACACATACCCACTATCCCATGCCAAGCTAATTTTTGTATTTTTAGTAGAGACAGGGTTTCACCATGTTGGCCAGGCTGGTCTCAAACTCCTGGCCTCATTTGATCTACCCACCTCAGCCTCCCAAAGTGTTGGGATTACAGGCATGAGCCACTGCACCCAGCCTGCTGTCACACTTCTGCTGGATGGGGAGGGGTCCCTATGGCTGCCCCTCTCACTCTACATCCAATTTCTCCAGGGATCCAGACACTCACCAACCAGAAACAAGGGCACTGCTATGGAGTAGTGGCAGGCTGGCCACCTGCTCGTCGCCGGCGCTTGGGGGTACACCTGCTGCACCGCGCCCTCCTTGTCTTCCTGGCTGAAGGCGAGCGACAGCTTTGTCCCCAGGACATCCAGGCCCGGGGCTGAGTGCTGGGGAATTGGCCATCCAGCCTGGGAAGAAATGTTGGAATGTTCCAGCTGCCCTGTGCTGACAGCAGCCCCCATCTCTGGTTTCAGAGGGGTGTGTGTGTGTGTGAGTATGTGTGTGTATGTATGTGTGTGATGCAGGGAGCACCAGGGCAGATCTCCCCCAAGCTGAGAGAGGACTTTATTACAGATGTTACTGCTGGAGAGGTAATGAGTAGTGAGCTCTCCATCATGGGAGAAAGACAAGTAGGGAAGCAGAAGGTGCTTTGGAACAGTCGGTACTTATGTCAGGGGCGTTTGAACCTGGCCCACTCCATCTTGAATAGGAGCTGGGTGAAATAAGGCTGAGACCTACTGGGCTGCATTCCCAGACGGTGAGGGCATTCTAAGTCACAGACGACATAGGAGGTGGGAACAAGAGACAGGTCGGAAAGACCCTGCTGATAAGACAGGTCGCAGTTGCTGGGTGCTGTGGCTCACGCCTGCGATCCCACGCCATAGACAGGATAGCTTGAGCCCAGGAGTTCCAGACTTGCCTGGGCAATACAGCAAGACCCCGTTCTCAAAGAAAAGAAAAGAAAAGAAAAAGGTTGCAGTAAAGAAGCTGTGATTTGGGAGGGCCCACCTCGCCCTCCCAAAGTGCTGGGATTACAGGCCTGAGCCAGCGCGCCCGGCCCCTTTAATTTCTTAATACATTTGCTTTCACTGTACTCTGAACTTGCCCTGAATTCTTTCTAGCGTGAGATTGAAGAACCCTCTGTTGGGGTCTGGATCAGGACCCCTTTCAAAATATCTAATAAAGCCCCCCATTCACCCCCTTCCTGGTAACACTTTCGCAGTTTGGTCCCGTCAAAATGGATAGAGTCTGACTTTACCTCCCAGACACAGGACACCCCCACATGGCGGGATGAACTGGGGGATCCTCAGGTGCACTCAGGGTATCTACCTAGCTTGAGAGCAAAGTTCACTGCTTCCCAGCTGTGAGACCTCGAATCAGTATTTATTTATTTATTTATTTATTTATTTTTGAGACAGAGTTTCACTCTTGTTACCCAGGCTGGAGTGCAATGGCACAACCTTGGCTCACCGCAACCTCGGCTCACCGCAACCTCCGCCTCCTGGGTTCAGGCAATTGTACCTCAGCCTCCTGAGTAGCTGGGATTACAGGCACGCGCCACCATGCCCAGCTAATTTTTTGTATTTTTAGTAGAGACGGGGTTTCACCATGTTGACCAGGATGGTCTCGATCTCTTGACCTCGTGATCCACCCACCTGGGCCTCCCAAAGTGCTGGGATTACAGGCTTGAGCCACCGCGCCCGGCCTCGAATCAGTATTTAATCTGTCTGAGCCTCAGTTTCCTTCGTTGTACACTGGGGCAGTAAGGAGGTCCCATTCCTGGGAAGTCAGTGGAGGGATTAAATGTGGTCACGTGGGGGCTGGGCATCATGCCTGTAATCTCAGCATTTTGGGAGGCTGAGGCAGGAGGATAGCATGGGCCCAGGAGTTTGAGAGCAGCCTGGACAACATAGCAAAGACTATCTCTACAAAAAGTAAAAACATTAGCTAGTGGTGGGTGGGCCTGTGGCCCCAGCTGCTTGGGACCCTGAGGTGGGAGGATTGCTTGAGCGTGGGAGTTGGAGGCTGCAAGGAGCTGCGATCACAGCACTGCACTGCAGCCTGGGGATATCGAGATCCTGTCTCTTAAAAAACCAAAATTTAAGCAACAGGCGCAGCGGCTCACGCCTATTATCCCAACACTTTGGGAGGCCGAGGCAGTCCGATCACGAGGTCAGGAGATCGAGACCATCCTGGCTAACACGGTGAAACTTCGTCTCTACCAAAAATACAAAAAAAAAAAAAATTAGCTGGGCGTCGTGGCACGCACCTGTAATCCCAGCTACTCGAGAGGCTGAGCCAGGAGAATCGCTTGAACCCAGGAGGCAGAGATTGCGGTGAGCCGAGATCGCTCCACTGCCCTCCAGCCTGGGCGGCAGAGCCAGACTCCGTCTCATAAATAAATAAATAAATGTAATAATCCGATTTCGTAGCGATGCTATGCGACTTCAGACCGTTCGCGTGCAAAGATCTTCAGTAAACACGAAGCAGCCATCCTGGTGAGAAGCCAGGGGTCTGGTTACGGGAGGGCGGGCGGGGTAGCGGGGTCTAGGGCATTTAAGCTTCTGAAAGCCGCTTTTTCAAAGGACCCAGTGGATTTAGGGACTTGGAGAGATCCGCGGCCTTATTGGCTCCAGGACCTGCCCGTCATCATGGCGCTTTAGCCAACCAGGTCCCGCAGGGGGCGGACTGTGACCCGGGCCGCGGTTCCACAGGCCTCGCCACTGCTGAGCCCCACGCTGCTCCTGGGGGAATGGCTGGTATTGTGGTTGGGGGTCCAGTCTCTGGAGTGGGTTTCGGCTTGACTACTTGTAATCGAGCTGAAGAAACTGCTCTCTGAGCTTCACTTTCCTCAAGTGTAAAACAGGGGCCCGAACGGTGGCTCACTCCTGTAATCCCAGAACTCTGAGAAGCCGAGGCAGTTGTACATACACCTGAGGTCAGGGGTTCAAGTTCAGCCTGGCCAACAGGGTGAAACCCCGTCTCTATAAAAATACAAAAATTGGCCAGACACAGTGGGAGGTCGAGGTGGGCGGATCACAAGGTCAAGAGATGGAGACCATCCTGGCCAACAAGATGAAACCCCATCTCTTTAAAAAAAAAAAAAAAAAAATTACTCGGGTATGGTGGTGGGTGCCTGTAATCCCAGCAGCTACTCGGGAGGCTGATACAGGTGAATTGCTTGAACCCGGGAGGTGGAGGTTGAAGTGAGCTGAGATTGCACCACTGCATTCCAGCCTGGGTGACAGAGACGAGACTCCATCTCAACAAACAAACAAAGGCCGAGCAAGGTGGCTCACGCCTGTAATCCCAGCACTTTCGGAGGCCAGATTATGGGGTCAGGAGTTTCAGATCATCCTGGCTAACATGGTGAAACCCCGTCTCTATTAAAAATACAAAAAAATTAGCTGGGCACAGTGGCGCGTGCCTGTAATTCCAGCTACTCAGGAGGTTGAGGCAGGAGAATTGCTTGAATCCAGGAGGCGGAGGTTGCGGTGAGCCGAGATCGCACCATTGCACTCCAGCCTGTGTAACAAGAGCGAAACTCCGTCTCAGAAAAAACAAAAAATTAGCCATGTGTGGTGGCATGCGCCTGTAGTCCCAGCTATTCAGGAGGCTGAGGCAAGAGAATCGCTTGAACCCGGGAGGTTGAGGTTGCAGTGAGCCAAGATCGTGCCATTGCACTCCAGCCTGGGCGACAGAGACTCATCTCAAAAACAAAAAGAAAGAAGAAGAAAAGAAAAAAAAACAAGTAAAACAGGAATGCCACCCAAGTGCCAAATTGAATAAAGCCACAGGAGTTATGACACTGTGCCATCACCCCGGAATACATAAACAGAACTTTGGCAAACAATCCAGAGCCTCCAAAAGACTCAAAAGAGATGGCATTTGTCTAACGCAGTTTCCCAATCTTGGTCCTAATGACATTTGGGGTTGGCTTATTCTTTGCTGTGGGGTCTGTCCCATGCAATGCAGGATGACGAGCACCCCTCACCTCCATCCACTAGAAGCCAGCAGCACCCATTCACCCCAACATGGCAATTAAAAATGTCTGCAGAAGCTGCCAATGGACACCATTGCCCCCGGGTCTAAACTAAAGATGGAGCTCACAAACCAGTGGGGAAGGGACAGAATGGAAAGAAAGATTTCATCCCTCCCCACATAATTCACACAAACCGCAGATAGGCCTACATATATATGCACCAGAATAAAATGTAGGTGGGGTGCCGGGGCTCACACCTGTAATCCCAGCACATTGGGAGGCCGAAATGGGAGGATCACTTGAAGCCAGGAGATTTTTAAATTTAATTTCTTTGCTTTTTTATTCTTTTCTTTTTGACCACTGTCAGATTTTTTTTTCTTTCTTTTTTTTTTGAGACGTAGTCTTGCTCTTGTGTCCCAGGCTGAAGTGCGGTGGCTCGATCTCAGCTCACTGCTACCTCTGCCTCCCCCGTCAAGCGATTCTCCTGCCTCAGCCTCTCAAGGGATTACAGGTGGCTGCCACCACACCCACCTAATTTTTGTATTTTTAGTAGAGATGCGGTTTCACTGTCTTGGTGAGGCTGGGTTTGAACACCTGACCTACCTGTCTCAGCTTCCCAAAGTGCTGGGATTAGAGGTGTGAGCTACCTTGCTTGGAGGCCAGTAGTTGAAGACAAGCCTAGGCAACATAGCGAGACTCTGTTGCTACAAAAAATATAAAAATTAGGCCAGGCACGGTGGCTCACGCCTATAATCCCAGCACTTTGGGAGGCCGAGGCGGGTGGATCACGATGTCAACAGATCGAGACCATCCTGGTCAACAAGGTGAAACCCCGTCTCTACTAAAAATACGAAAATTAGCCGGGCATGGTGGCACGTGCCTGTAATCCCAGTTACTCAGGAGACTGAGGCAGGAGAATTGCCTGAACCCAGGAGGCAGAGGTTTCGGTGAGCCGAGATCGCTCCATTGCACTCCAGCCTGGGTAACGAGCGAAACTCCATCTCAAAACAAAAAATATAAAAATTAGCTAGATGAGGAGGCACACACATATAGTCCTAGCTATTTGGGGGGCTGAGGCAGGATTGCTTGAGCCTGGGAGGTTGAGGCTGCAGTGAGTTGTGATCACATCAGTGCACTCCAAGCCTGGGTGACAGAGCAAATTCCTGTCTCAAAAGAAAAAAAAGAAAAAGAAAAGCCAGGCATGGTGGTTCATACCTGCAGTCCCAGCTACTCAAGAGGCTGAGGCAGGAGATTTGCTTGAACCTGGGAGGCAGAGGTTGCAGTGAGCTGAGATCTCACCATCGGTGACAAGAGCAAAACTCTGTCTCCAAAAAAAGAAAAGAAAGAATAATAGAGGCACAAATGCATGGACTGGGGCTGAAAAGTCCCTCAGCAGGACATAAAAGGAAAAGACAGATTTGGTGGTTTCAAAAGAAAATTCTTCATGAAAAAGGTGACCCTAAATCAAGTTGAAAGGTATAGCATGGGGATAGTAAAAGGTCCTAACTTGCTGGGCGGGGTTGGGCGAGGGAATTCAGTGAACCCGTGGGTGGCAGGAACTCAACACACAGCCTGGAATCCAGTGGGCCCTCAATTATGGCAGCTCTAATTCCGTGCAGTGCCTACTACCTAAACCTCAGTTGGATCTCTTCCGGCCAGGGAAGGGCTCATCTCTTTTTTTTTTTTTTTGAGACGGAGTCTCACCCTGTTGCCCAGGCTGGAGTGCAGTGGCAAGATCTTGGCTCACTGCAACCTCCACCTCATGAGTTCAAGCGATTCTCCCGCCTCAGGCTCCCCGAGTAGCTGGGACTACAGGTGCGCACCACCATGCCTGGCTCATTTTTCTATTTTTCAGTAGAGCCGGGGTTTCACATTGTTGGCCAGGCTAGTCTCGAACTTCTGACCTCAGGTGATCCTCCCGTCTCCGCCTCTCAAAGTGCTGGGATTTTGAGAGCCACCATGCCCGGCCGGGCTTACCTCTTGATAAGTTGCCTCCTGCCCTAGGGATACTGTCCAAGGAACCTCTGCCTTCTGAGGTGGAAGGGGAAATTCAGGAAGCTAACCTGGATCCCCGGCATTGTCAGAGTCCATCCTGAGTGCGAGGCACCAGGCTGAGCCCATTCTACAGATAGGAAAACTGAGGCTTTGGGCAGTGAACACCCTTCTCTATGGTCACCCAGCAGCAGGTCCGGAGACTCAGATTGTCACTTCTCTTTATTGAGTTACAAGTTGAGATGTGCAGGTTCGGTGGCGCCAGCCCCCCCATCCCTCCCGCCTTGGGCAAAAATAGCTCCCAGCGCCGAGGAATGTGGGGTAGGGAGGGTCTTGGGCAACGGGACGGGGCCCCGAGGGTCCCTGCAGGGCTCGTGGGTCCCGGGATCAAGCACGGCTGACAATGAAGACAGAGAGCGGGGTGGGGAGCCTGCCTCGGCCTTGGCGTTGGGGGGAAGGTGAGGAAGAGCTTCTGTACAAGGTCATCTTCCGCAAGGGTCCGGGCTGCGGCCCCGAAACGCCGATGGGCACCGCGGGACGGAAGCAGAGAGCGGAGTGTCCGCTGGGCTCCCCCGGATGCCACGCCCCGCCCAGCCAGCCTGGGGGCGTCTCCCTGACCTGGCCACGCCCACCGGAGCGAAAGGCCCGCCCAGGTGGTCTGCGCTGCAGACCTGGCGCGGGCTCCGGCCTCTCCTGCTGTGGCTGTGCTCACCAAGCGATGCCCCGCCGGCCTGGCGGCTACTTCTTATCTTCTAGAGGCGCCGGCAGTGGCTCGGGCAGAGCCCTGGGCGAGGGCTCGGGCTCCCAGAGCAGGAATTCGTGGAGCAGCGTGTTGACCGTCTCGGGGCATTCCAGCATCACCATGTGGCTGCCCTCGTCGATGAGCTTCAGGAATGCCAAGAGCAGGATCTGCCGAAGACGCGGGGCTCAGGATAGGCGGGGGCAGGAGGGTGGGGCGAGAGGCCAGGCTTCCCTGGGACTCCGCCAACCACACGTGGCCCGCAGCATCCAAGAGTCCCTCTTCCCATCTATCCTGCCTCCCTCCACTTCCCCCCGACGGAGAGCTGGAGAATGGCCTGGAGAATGGCCTGTTGCCCCTGCGGGAGCCCAACTAGTATTCAGGCATCCAGCATTTATTAAGTGCCTACAGTATGCCCGGAGGAGGATTTTCTTTTTCTTTCTTCTTTCATTCATTGATTCATTCATTCTTTTTCTTTTGCAGCCTCCAAAGTAGCTGGGGTTACAGGCATGTACCACCACGCTTGGCTAATTTTGTATTTTTTAGTAGAGATGGGGTTTCTCCATGTTGGTCAGGCTGGTCTCGAACTCCTGACCTCAGGTGATCCACCCGTCTCGGCCTCCCAAAGTGCTGGGATTACAGGTGTGAGCCACCACGCTCGGCCTTTTTTCTTTTTTCTTTTTTAAATTTTTTGAGATGGGAGT